ACCTAAAATAAAAAATGAAAATCTTTATTTCACAGGAAGATTATTTCATAAATATTCATTACAGTATGCAACATGTAAAGATAAATTAATAATTCTTTTTGTTTTGTTATGAATAATAATGACAAGCACCATAATTCCTCATGCAGTATGATATGATTATGCAAACCTTCAGTTTCTAAGTTAAAATCTATTATATATCTGTGGGAAAACCTGGGTATTGGAAATAGGGGAGAAACATTTTCTATAACACACATTTGATTTCTGCCTCATGTGAAAATGTAAACTAAACGATTTTGCTATAATTTACTCAAAGACATGGCATACTATGTGCAGAACAATTAAAGTTGCCCCAACACCTCTTGGAACTACAGCAGAAGGTTAACAAACATCCTCTACATATTTTCTTGCAGAATAGCCTTTATTTGATGATAAATTTCCTGGGTCCATCATCAATATTGTTGGGTGGGTGAGTGAGTGCATGTATCTATACATACATTTTCATGTGTGTGTGTGTGTGTATGTGTGTAATTATTTTTTTTTCTAATTTCTTAAACCAATATTCAAATAAATTTTATTTTATATAATGAACTAATAGTAAACTGATTATTATACAAACAAGCTACTTAAACGGAGAATCTTTTACTACAATACATGAAGTCTTAATACAGCAAAAATTCAAATTTCAAAAGATAAAAATTTATTATCCACAGACAATAATCAAGGAAAATGTAACCAAATAAACATATTATTCATTGCAAAGTGATGCAAAAACATAATCTATTCTTACCACAAGAACCTCCCCTTGCTCTGGAGGATACCGTTCTTCTAAGGCCTCGAGATCGGGCAAGATGTGCATGCAGTTGATACAGCAGTAAGTAAAAAAGTCAAGTACAGAGATGCGGCCTTTGAGATCCTGCGCATGGGTTAGAGCTCTTGATACGTTGAACCATTCCAATCCTGGAAGATAATGAAAAAAAATCATTAAAAATTCTTTGCAAAAGCTGCTAGAATTAATATAAAAATTATTGTTACAAATGATTATAGTGTAAAGCTAATAAGACAAAAATCAGATATTTAACTAATCTATCTATGCCTACCTAACTATTTACATATCTATCTATCTATCTATCTCTTTCTCCATGTAAGAAAGCCTTTTAGTATATTATGTCATGAAAAACAAGTGATCTAAGATAAAGCCCAAGAAACAAAATACACAGAAAAAAGTAAACAAATTCAATAAAAGCAAAGACAACAAATTTCTTACAGAATTATTTTATTAACTACGAGAATATGAATTTCTACACCAAAGTCCTTCCCTGAATTTCCTAGTATTTGAAAACGTACACCTGAAAAAAAAAACACTGATATAATATCGACCTACTACAGTTCCTTATTCCGAATGTGGTATTAGTATTGGAATTTATAAAACACGATGAAAAACATTAATGAAGATGCCGTTCAATCATTATTTTGAAATTGCGTTCTGACGACTCATGACTATAGCCACACCCAGTCATCCAGAGTTTCACACTTAATTTCAACATTTATGAATAAAGAATCCACTGCTTTTGGTTTTTTTTTAGGATATAGTTTCAGCTGCCTGTAATGGACAAAAAAAAAAAAAATAAGGACAGTTTACAACTATGGTAATTACCAGACAAGTTGATAATAGGAAAGTTGTGGAACATGTCATACATTGTCATAATGGCTAGATTAAGAAATTAAGTGAAAAAGAAAAAAAAAACACTCACTTATAACATGAAATAATATGCACAGGCCAAGAACGACATTGGAAATCACAAAAACTGGCTGCGATAAATGCCGCGCAGAGAACAAATCCACGGCGATTGGTTAGGGGTGCAGGGGAAGGGCACATTAGAGGAAAAATACATTACATGGAGGTCTAGGGCAGATCCCCTAGGTTAAGAAAGATTTTGGCTCATACAGCGATATTAGTGGGATCCCAGGAGTTGCTAGAGTAATAGGGTTTGCCGTCGACTTCGTAAAGAATCACCAGTCCTTCCATCAATACCATTTGCAAAAGGAAAACAACTACAAATTCATGCACATTACACCATGACTCACTGAACCCAGAAATAACTCCAACATAGGACACTAGTTTAGAAACAAGACAAAACATCAACCTTCCTTACAAACCAAACCCACCAGTCCCCCCAAAAAAGGAAAATAAATCACACCTTAAAACTCAAAAACATAACTTAAAAAAAAAAAAAAAAAAAAAGTAACACTTAAAAAAACAAAAAACTTCTCCCACACTCACCGGCCTCAAAATCCACCATAGGAATCTTCTCCTCGACGTAATTCTTAACATGCTCAGTCACAATGGCCTTCCTCTCCCCTACGTCCTCCACCTCGTCCAATCTCGCTGCCAAATCTAAGCAAACGAGCGTCAATTCGCTAATATTCCCGGCCCTGTCTTCCTCCATGGTCGCCTCTCTCAGCCGCCGGACGCCCCTCGGCTCAGGGCTTTCAAAACGCC